ATAGCCAAAGCAATCCTGAACAAAAACAATAAAGCTGGAGGCATTACACTACCTGACTTCAAAATATACTACAAAGTTACTGTAACCAAAACAGCATGGTACTGGCATAAAACAGACACATGGACCAGTGGAACAGAATACAGAACCCAGAAAATCTGTGTACATATAGCCAACTGATCTTTGACAAAGGCACTGAGATCATACACTGGGGAAAGGACAGCTTCTTCAATAAATGGTGCTGGGAAAACTAGATATCCACATGCAAAAGAATGAAACCAGATCTCTCTCTCTCACCACATACCAAAATCAATTCAAAATTAAATAAAGACTTAAATGTTAAGACATAAATGTAAGACCTGAAACTATAAAACTACTAGAAGGGGTAAAAATTTTATGGAGAAGACTTCTAACGTGCAAACAACAAAAACAAACTAGAAAGCTTCTGCACAGCAAAAGAAATAATCAACAAAGACAAAACCAGCAGAATCGGAGAAAATATTTGCAAACTATTCATCTGACAAGGGATTAATATCCAGAATATACAAGGAACTTAACTCAACAGCAAAAAACCAAATAACCCAATTAAAAATGGGCAAACGACCTGAATAGACATTTCTCAAATGAAGACGTACAAATGGCCAACAGTTATATATGAAAAAGTGCTCAACATCACTAATTGCTACAGGTCAAATTTATCTCCCTAAAGTTCATGTATTGAAACTTGACCCCCATCGTGAGAGCATTAAGAAGGTAGGAAATCCAATTACAGTATTTGATAGGTAGGGCCTTTAATAGGTGGATTGTGAGGACTACACTCTCATGAATGGATGGATCTGTTCACAGAGTAAGAGGCATGGTTCTGATGAGAGATATGAGGAGAGCAAGTGAGCTATCAGGTTAGCTCTCTCTCACTCAGCCCATTCTCACCATGTGAATACCCTATGTTGCTGTAGATGAAGGCCCTCACCAGGTATGTTCCATGGACTTAGGACTATCCCAGCTTCTGAAACTGTAAGAAATAAGTTCCATTCCTTTACAAATTACCAGTTTCAGGTATTCTATTCTAAGCTAAAGAAACAGACTAACACAGTAATCGTCTGGGAAATGCAAATCAAAGCCACAATGAGGTTATCATCTCCTCCCAGTTAGAATGGCAATTATCAAAAAAACAAAAAATGGGCCAGCCCGGTGGTGCACTCGGGAGCGCGGCTGCGCTCCCGACGAGGGTTCGGATCCCATATAGAGACCGGTCTGCTCACTGGTTGAGCATGGTGCGGGCGCGACACCGAGGGTTGCGATCCCGTTACTGGAAACAAAAAAAGACAAAAAGGAAAAAAAAAAAGACAAAAAATAACAAATGTTGGTGAGGACGTGGAGACAGGGAAACTCTTATACACTGTTGGTGGGAACATAAATTAGTACAGCCGTTATGTAGAACAGTATAGAGGTACCTCAAAAAAC